TTTATATTATGTGTTTGGGGTTTTGCCTGTATGTTAGGATAGATACCACATGTGTGTATTGTCTGTTGAGGTCAGAAGAGGGCATCAGATCCCCTAGAACTTGAGTTACAGGTGGTTGTGTGGCCACGCAGTTGCTGGGGATTGAATCCTGATCCTCTGCCACCATGATCTTAACCACTGAACCATCCTCCAGTCCTCAGCTTAAGCTTTTATAGTGGTTTAAAACTTAGGATGTTGGGGAATAAAACTCAGAGGACTATTTTTTCTTACATTTAATTTAAGAAATTGAGAAAAACATCCACACATATTTAAGCCACCTGTGTCTTATAATCATTTGTACTATGGTGTCAAAACTTAACTACTTCTAGATTTACTAAAAACCTTTACAAAATTGTTCACTGTTGATTCTACTTAAATTAGTTTGTAAGGACAGCTCTTTAGGTAGCTGGATACCTTTACCATTGCTGTCCAGTCCTCCCAGAATGACCTTCACTGACCTCTACCTAGCTTCACATGTTGCTTTTCAGAGTTGCTTCTTCCAGAAAACTGGTCCCCATGTTAACAGTTACCTTTTCCTGGGAGACTAGATCTTTTGTTTGCATTTAAGGCTTCCTGTTGCTCTCCTGTCTTAATGCGATGCACAACAGCTTTGTGAGCACTTGTGATTCCGGGCAGAAGGACTATTAAAGTACCAGGGAGAAAATAGAAACAGTGTTAGAGATAAGACTGGATCTGCCTGTTGTTCTGCCAGTGCTGTTTGGGATCGGTCCTACTAGTGATAGAGGTAGAAAGCCAACCCATTTCATCATGTTCCAGACTCTAGTCTCTGATGGGTAACCAGGAGAGAGGTAAAACTGAGGGCTATGTCTTCTCAGTCCCAGTCAGCCTCTGTTTAGATATTCACGAAAGCAACCAATACCCCACCTGCATGTGCTTGGAATATAATAGTAGTTTTGTATGTCAAATAAACTGTATTTTAAATTAAAGTTAAGCCTTATAAAAATCATCCTTTCAGTTTTCTGTATACTTGAATCTGTCAGTCTGCTGATATATTAAGTGAGTCTAACCATTTGATTACATTATAACGTTGTTATCTGTAAGACATAGCAAAGACCATGCTCCTTTACAAAGGAGTTAAATTGGGGTAGAGCAAAATAAAAGTAAAGATTGTTTGTCAGAGGAGATGAGTAAAACATTGAAATATGGAGTTGTAGAGAAAACCCATGTGTTATTGAGGAGAGCAATGGGTTACAGCCCTGGGCACAGCATTGAGTAACATGAGAAGAGACTTGAAGTTACTGAAACTAAATGGAACAATCCATTATCCTCTAAAGGGCCCTTTCAACAGCTCACCAGGCATTTGGGAGGCTCTTAGCTGAGTGGTCCTTGCTGGTCTCCTTGGGAAGTTGTGTTCTGAACATTGGCCTCTGCAGGCCTTCCTGGTGCTGGACTGTGGCATTCCTTACCTAATGCTAACAGGTCCCTTAGTATTAGCAGGATGCAGTTGCTCATTTTCCTTGAATATAAACTTGATTTGCAAAGGAGATTAAGTCCTTTCACTACATTCTTAAGATTCCTTAGCTGGGTAGGGTGGTGCACCTTTAATCCCAGCACTCAGGAGGCAGAGACAGGTGGATCTCTAAGTTACAGTCCAGCCTGGTCTACAGAGTGAGTTCCAGGACAGCCAGGGCTACACAGAAAAATACTATCTTGAAAAAACAAGAAGAAGATTCCTGCTGGCATAGCTTCTGGCAGGGGATGCCTTCTCTTTGAATGTTCCTTTTCCTCCCTCAGGTGACTTTTTTACTCCCTAAGTCTCAAGAGATGCTTTTGTACCCACCCCACTGTCTTTCAGTGAAGGAGCATCCTTTATGCTGGATAATGTCAGCAAGACATATAGGTCCCTGCCTCAGTGGAGCATCTAGCTGAGAAGACACGCAGCAGCCACATTATTCAAAATAATTAATGAGATAACTGCCAGGTGTTTCGGAACAGACAGGACCCGGGAAGGTGCCGGTGGGACCAGACCTATTTGTGTCTCGCTTGAGCAGCATTTTCCCTTTCGTGCTTTGTGGGAAGAAAAGGGGGTTCAGTCAAAACTCTTTTCCTCCTGACTCAGGACTGAGGAAGTCCTTCCAACCCTGCCATGTGTAGGGCACATGTCCTCTCTCTGCAGAAATTCGGAGAATGTAGTGAGTACAGTAACCTTCATGTGGACAAAGGAGCTAAGGTACTACCAAATTAGCCGGCAGTTCTTTCTCACTGCTCATCTCTCTTCTTCCTGACACTTGTCGTTCAAGTCTTAGATGGTCTTTTAATAAAAAACCCAAAGCCAGATATTGGGGTAAAAGCTGAAAGATTAGAGAAGCAGAGCAAGCCACAGCCACCACCTAATACCTCACCAACTCCACGAATCCTCTGACTGAAATCCTCTGAGTCTTCACCCAAGAGGATCTCATCTGAACTGTCTTAGTTCCTGTTTCCTCACGCCTTATATACCTTTCTCCACCCTGCTGTCCCTTCCTGGGATTAAAGGCCTGTGTGCCAGCACTGGGATTAAAGGTGTGGGCCACCACTGTCTGGCTCTGTTTCCAGTGAGGTCTTGAACTCACAGAGTCCATCTCTGCCTCCCAAGTGATAGGATTAAGGGTGTGTGCCACCACTGTCTGGCCTCTGTGTAATCTGGTGGCTGGCTCTGTCCTCTGATCCTCTGGCAAGCTTTACTGGGGTACACAATATATCACCACAGCCCCTTCTACTGTTTCTCTGCTTACCCCACTGGTTTCCTTCCCACCACATCCTTGGAGATTGTGTAGTGTTATATGGTTAGAGTACACTGCTTTCTTTTTTCCTGAGCTGTTTTATTTTGAGCATGTTTCTGAGTTAGAGAATGAAGGCTGGAGACCCTGTGGAAGACATTTAGGTGTAGAAAGCTAGAGCTGAGGTGGGAAAAGCTGACGTTGATTCTGTGGGAGCAAGTTTGGTGATCCAATTTCTGCGCCATTTCCCATCTCTGCTGCTTTTCTATCTCTGACTCACAGTGAGGCCTTCCCTAGGAGGTCATAGCTCAGGCAGCCATTGACAGGATGCCAGGGGGTGTTCATAATCTACATCTTGGTTCCATTTGCAAACATTTGTGGCATTGTGAAGGAGGAAAATCCTAAAGCAGATGGCAATGCTACAATAATGAACCTGTACACAACGCAAAATACAAAGCGTTCATCGATTGGTACTTTACTTTGTTGCTTTTTTATTTGTTGGAGCAAGCACAATGTATTTATACAAGTTTTCCTGTGGTCATTCATCAGTTCTTACTTCCTCGGTGTTCTCCCCCACCTCATTCCACCTACCTATTCATGAACATTTTCAGACTCCAAACTCCCAAGGTTGGAGAGAAAGAGACCAATTGTCTACTCATTATTGTGTAGTTGTCAGGAGAGTCTCAGGCATTGAAGAATCAGCTAAATCAGAGTATGCACTTTCAAATGACATTTGTGCCAACCCGTAGGGAAAGTGTGTCAGTAAAAACAGCTGAGCAAGCTTCCTTCCTCAGGAAGCCTATGCTTGGGCCACTGGGAAGTAGTCCTGGGTGGAGTCTCAGGGTCTAACACATTAGCACTCTTGCCTTCCAGTAAATGAATATAAATTAAATTAATTTGAATGGCAAATCTGCAATTTAACCTTGAACTCCCATGTTTCCCCTTTAAAGTATCATTACCATAATATATTCAGGTATACACACACACACACACACACACACACACACACACACACACTCTTAAGAGGTTGTTCCTTGATGAGAAAAGAACTCATTCACTATATATATATTTTTTAAATTGCTACCAAGCATGGATTTCTTCAAGACTGTGTTTATATTATCTTGATAATAAGTATACTTAGATTTACTGTTTTTTATGTTTCTCTTTAACAACTTTTAACATAATTTTTTCTCTATTCTTTAGGAACATCATGCACCCCAGTCCCACTCATTTCCCAGTCCCTCCATATCTGCACTTTGTAGTGTCCCCCAACCAAGAAAAACTTAAAAAGAACTAATAAAAATGAAACACAAAAAATACAAGTAAGAATATTAATTAAAAAACAAAAACCTCAAAAGCACACAAAAACAACAACAACAAAGCAAGCAAACAAACAAAAAGCACTTTTCCCTTCCATCTTTCCCACCTCTCCATCACTCTTCGTTTGTCTCAGTGGCACTGGGAGCTGCTGTGTATCATGCAGTGCACCCATTTGTCCAAACAGCTTTACTTGCAAATGTTCATTGTGTACTGTTTTAGAGGATGGATTTGCACATTTACACTGGGTAGGTCATCAGCATAATGTGCTGAAAGTTTGGAAGATAAATATGGTTAAGGACTCTGGATTTTAACCGTGTTGTCTATTCTCACTCTGCCTGCCCTATGACCCGGTGCCACTTGCTTTTACCTTGCATATCATCCAAAATGGCTCCTGTCACTTGCTCAGCCTTCAGCAAGAGTTCATTGTTTCAGAGCAGAGGTCTATTAATGCAGGACCACCCATTTAGAATTCTAGTGCTTCTAGAATTCCTAATGTAAACCAGCATCCTCAGGAATACGTAATATTTAACTATGCTGTCAGAATATCATTACTAACAGTTCACATCTGTGCTGTTTCTGAGTGCTCTCTACAGTTATTTTTAACGTACCCATAATGACATATGTACTTCACAGTGTGCACCTTTTGACAAATAGCCTTTTAAAAAAATTTAAATAAAAAGTTAAATAAAAATCACTCTCTTTAAAAAAGTAAGTCGGTATGATTTCTTCCAGATTTTTGGTCTGAAATGCTGCCACAGTTTTTCTCACATTCTAAAGAAAGGAAAGAAGGCAGTGATGGTGGCGAGCTTAAGTCTCCTGCAGCCGCCGCGAATGTGGGCCTCTTAGCTACAAGTAAAGTGCTGCCTTGGTGGCTCCATTTTTCTTACTCTAACACGATTTCTTTCCCTGATGTTTTCTTAGGTGCAGAGAGAGCTAGCGGCTGTTATTGCATTGAAAGCAAGAAAGTCTGGTGAGTGATCGCTCATGGGCTGGAGGGAGACTGTAACCCTTCGGGGGTGCTTCACACTCCACCTGGCAGTGTGCACTGAGGGCGTTTCAGGCTGCTCGCTATGAAACGTAGAAAAACCCCGCCATGTCTCGAAGCATTTATAGCCCAGTCTAAATAGCGCAGGTGTTATGGAAAGCACTTCAAGGTAACATTTTATTCCTCTCCCCTAACTTACTTCCAATTTTGGGGGAAAACTAAAAATATTTATAGTCCACTGAAACCAGGAAAGAGGTCACAGTCCATTGTGAAACAATTAAATTACTTTACATTATGTAATATAATAACAGAGAACAACAAATACTATCATGCTATAATGCTTTTGAAAAAGCTCTGACTATATAGCCCTGGGTTCCCTGGAACTCCCTCTGTAGACCAGGCTGGTCTCAAACTCACAGAGATCTGCCCGCTTCTTGGTGTACTAAAAACAACATTTTTTTTTAAATCTCAAAATAACTTGTGTAAAAATAATTTACTCAACGGTATTTCATAGCAAACATTTCCCCAGGACTGATTATATAGATGTGTCCTCATATTTGTAAGCTATGATCTATAGAGATAATATGCAAAAGGCAAAAGGAGGCTGCCAAATATATGTTGGCGAACAAAAAAACATTTTCTGCTAAAATCTAGCATGAAATGGAGGCTCAGTGAAGTGGGGAAATGCTTGCTTAGTGTCTTAGGGTTTCTGTTGCTGTGAAGAGGCACCATGACCACGGCAACGGTTCTAAGGAAAACATTTAACTGTGCTGGTGGCTTACAGTTTCAGAGGGTTAGTCCATTATCATCATGGCAGGAGCATGGCAGCTGGGAGTATGGCGGCATGCAGGCAGACATGGTGCTGGAGAATTCTACATCTTGATCCAAAGGCAACAGGAAGTGAACTGTCTCACTAGGTGTGGCTTGAGCAGATATGAGACCTTAGAGCCTGCCTCCACAGTGACACACTTCCTCTAACAAGGCCACACCTACTCCAACACCTCCCAATTGTGCCACTCCTTTTAGGGGCCATTTTCTTTCAAACCCACCACATATAGAGAAGGGAGATGTTGGAGGCGGCATCTCATGCTGTCCCTCATGTTCAGAGCCTGGAGGTCAGTTCTAAATGCACTGGAACTCAGCAAAGGTGTGACTTGGATATGGTGCACTAGAAGATGATTTTTCAACCAGAAAGATGGGCAAACTTGAGGGCATAAACTTGAGGAATAACCAGAGATGAAGTGTGTTAGCATTAACCAAACCTTTATGTATTTCTTCTTCTAGACACTCTTAAGCTTTGCTTACTTCTTATTTACTTTTTGAATCAAACACGTTTTTTTTTTTTTTTTTTTTGGTTTTTCGAGACAGGGTTTCTCTGTGTAGCTTTGCGCCTTTCCTGGAACTCACTTGGTAGTCCAGGCTGGCCTCGAACTCACAGAGATCCACCTGGCTCTGCCTCCCGAGTGCTGGGATTAAAGGCGTGCGCCACCACCGCCCGGCTTGAATCAAACACGTTTTAGTGCGTGTGCATTTATTATGTTCGTGTAACTTTGGTGGCTTTTTGTTTTAAAGACACAGAGATCAGGTATTAGAGAGAAAGCTGCAGAGAGCATCATGGGGTGTGTGTGAGCTGAACTCTGGGGAGCAGCATTAGACAGTGGATATTTGCAGAGGAGGAAGCCAAACTAGAGAAAGGACACAGTTTAATGATTGTAAGAGAGGTCAGAAGTCAAGTGACTGCTTTGATCTTGACCCCGTTGGTAGTAAAGAAGCCAAACTTGAAGTCTGTGTGAGTTGTGGTCGGTGTTACATCTTTGAGTGTGGAATTTGATCTTTTAAAGTTTCAATGTAAGTTTGAGAAGGTAAACATAGAGTGACCATTGCCAGAGAAAGAGCAGGAAAGTACAGAGGAGGCTGAGCATGTGGGCTGACGTGTGCCAGCTGTGTTCTAGGGACAGCAAGGATGCAGACAGGACTGGAGTGAGTGAGCAAGGTAGAGAGAGGTGGATGTATGGAACATGAAGCAGAAGCTGTGTATGCACATAAGGAAGGCTTGTCTGAAGTTAGGTGTGTTGCACCTCACCATCTCAGGAGGCTAGGCTGCCTTCCTTCCTAGATCTGTGGAGGTTGGAATCCGAACACAACTTTGCAGCTTTTTAGGTCCAAAAGTGATCCCTCACACACATAAGAATGGGGACCTAAGCTCACAGCTTTTCTGGAAAGTGTTTTGTTGTTGTTGTTTTTGTTTGTCCAAACACAATCTTACTATATAGCCCTGGCTGTCCTGGAACTCTCTATGTAGACCAGGCTGGCTTCAGACTCACAGAGATCTACTTGCCTCTGCCTCTCAAATGTGGGATTAAAGCCATAAAAGTTGGAGAGCAGTTTTTCAGAGTGTTCTATCATCCCCAATCCCTTGTCCCTGTCACTCGAGGTTGGAGGTCTAGCCACAGGATGTCAGCAGGGATTAAGGGAGAGGGGTGTGCATTGATTGCTTTCTCTCTCTCCTGTTTGTAAAGAGTCTCATGTAGCCTAAGCTGGCCTTGAAATCACAATGTTGCTAAGGATGACCAAACCCAGGGCTTCATGTATGCTAGGTAAGCTCTCTATCAATTGAACTATATCTGCAACCCTTATATCACTTCCTTTAATGGTAAGGAAGTAGAGACAGTCTGCTGGGGAGATGGTTTAGTTGGTAAAGTGCCTACCTTGCAAACATAGACCCGAATTGAGATCCCCAACAACCACTTAAAAAGCTGGACATGGTAGTTTGTGCCTATAATCCCAACATGGGGAGGCAGAGACACACAGATCCCTGGAACTCATTGGGCGGTCCTCCTAGCAGAGTCATGGAGCTCCAGGTTCAGCAAGAGACTCTCTCAATAAATGAAGTGGGGAGCAATTGAAGAAAACACTAGACATTGATCTCTAGCCTATACATGTACACCCATATGTGCACACTCCCGTGCAAACATGTTCATGTCACACACACACACACACACACACACACACACACACACACACACACGTGCGAAGAAAAAGAAAAGGTAGAGATAGTTCTTAAATTCTTATCATGGGTTTATGAAGTAAAATATTCAGTGAAATGTGTACAATGGTGTATATTACTTTTCTTTTTCATAATAAAAATAGACTTATTTTTCTTACTATTAGAGAATGCTCATTGAAAGAAATTTTATTATACATTCGTGCTTGAAGAAGAAATTGAAAAATCTCATATCCTCTCACCAATATCCATATTAATCTTTTTGTTGTATATATTTCTATGTATTCTCCCACTAACAGGTAAATATTACTACATATAAATATATAGATTTTGAGGTAATTATATATTTATACATATTTGTAATAAACAATGGGTATATCCCAAGCACTTTTAAAAATATTTTTATTTATTCTACATGTGTATGTTTTGATCACATCCAGCCCGCACTTGCAGCTCATCCCAGATCCCCCCCACCTCATCCCCCTTCTCACTTTTTTTCTTTATAACCGCTCAGTCCATTTGGTGCAGCTGCTGTGTGCGTGGGTCTGTGGAGTGTGGGCAGCCTGTCTGGGGCTGCATCCCTGAAAGAAACGCATGTCCCTTCCCCCAGCACCAAGTATTCTTTACGGTGAAGAACCATAGTGAGGAAGACACTGACACACAACATCTCCATCTTCACAAGGCTCCCTCATGATCCTCATTGATAACTTCCTGAGTTTTCATCTGTAACCCCTGGGGATCAGCAACTGGTCTACGTTTCTATTTATCATGTCAAAAATACTGTAGGAATGGAATCAGAATATGTAATCTTTTGGAATTGATTTTTCACTGGTATGGTTTTCTGGAAATTTATGCTGGTTGGAGACCAGTGGTTAATTCTCTTCTGTTGCTGACTAGTATCCCATAGTCATGGTGTACCACAATATTTTAAGAATTCAAGCATTCAGTGATTCAGCTTCATTTCCGGGTGGGGGCTATTATGGAGCTGCTAAAAGCACTCATGAACAGTGCAAACTTTTATGCAAAAATAACATTTTATTTTTCTGGAATAAATGTCTAAAAATATGACTTCTAAGTTTATGGTGGTTTCATACTAGGTTTTGTAGATTTGAGAAGTTGGTAAAATATTTCCAGAATGGCTAGGATATTTTCGTTCTCACCAGCAATGTGATCCAGGTTCTTGGTTTGCTTGTTAGTGTTTAATATCACCTCTATATATTTAGCTTTGTTTTCGAGATTGTGATAGGTATACAGTGATATCTTAAGTCGTTTTAGTTTTTCTCTCCTCAGTGATCACAATAGTGAACTTACTTTCTTGTGCTTATTTCCCAACAAGTGTCACAGTGAAATGCGCCATCACGCCATGAACTGCTGTTCCATTTCCATGTTTCTTGAAATAGTCTGGATATTTGTCCTTTATTAATACCTGGTGACAAATATTTTCTTGAAGTCTTTTTCATCCTTTCAGAGAGAAAAGTGTTTAATTTATGTAAAGTTCACCTTATTAAGCTGGGTGTGGTGTAGATGTCTATAATCCAAGCACTTAGTAGGTTGAGGCTGGAGAATTGCTAGCCTGGGCTGCATAGTGAAACCTTGTCTCAAGAACCTCCCTCAGAGGGAGAGTGTCAGTGTGCTTTAAGGATGTGACCCTCTGATGGCCTGTCAGGGCTCCAGTGCATGGCCCTGCCATGCTGGCAGCTGTAAGTAGACTCCGTGGACTTAAAAAGAATTCAGGAAGCTGATGGAAAAGTGATGATGGGGGACTGTGGGAGGAGCTGGGGGAGGGTGGGTTTGATCAAAACACATTTGCATTATAAAATTATTAAATGTTAAATAAAACTCCCACCCCACTAAAAAAAGGGGGAGTAGAGGGAGGGGAAGAAGAGAGGGAAAGAAAAAATACAAGGAGAAAGAATGGAGTGTACTGTTTTTTTCTGTGTCATTTTTGGGTAAGTCTATGAACACTTTGCTTAGGACTCAA